TTCAGCAGGACTAAATTGTCACTGGTGACTGGTTATCAAATGTGAATGAAGATGGTCTTCATTGCTCAGTGGATGGATATTAAGCTCAAGCAATCTGTGATGGAACTTCCCGGCTGAGAATCAGGTGGGGTGTAAAGGCACTTCTCCAGAGGTGATGGCAGAGCTTTCACTGGGTGTGTTTAATGTTGTATTTGCCTGAACTGTACTGATCTGGTATGCAAATGTCAGCTTTTGTGCTGTTTGTGGCCAATGCCATAGCCTTTTCCGAGTATGACTTTTGCTTTAAAGGGGGTGAGGGAGCAGAGGAAAAAAATTCATAGTTCTTGCTTCGTGAGTTGGGATGGCATCCCTGGCTTGACATTTGAACTCTTTCAAAGACTAGTAATCAAGTTTAATAAATTCAGTTCTCCTGAAAGCCATAACAATGAAATCGGACTGTGGAATAAAATGCTTAGTTATTAATAACTAAATAATTCAGGACAGGGAAGACGTTCCTGATCAATCACAGTAACTGCATTCCTCAAAGTCACTGGGATGTGAGATGACATAAAAGTAATAAATCTGGCACACCTTTGACAGAAATGACTCGTGTGTTGCTTTGGATGTTTGTGCTGGACTTGTTTGTATTTTTTGTGGACCTAAATATTTGAGATATATCAAAAATTACTTTTTCAAGTGAATGCTAGGGCTTTGATATGGTCTGTCCTGCATCTTCTGCACCATGCTTCCAGTGCGTGGATTAGTTCATGGATCATAGGTGGTGACTGTCCATTTGTTCAGCTGCTCCTAGGCAGGGTGGCTTTTCTTCTGTGGCATTTTGAGGGGGGGATGTTTGCTCCCCTTTTGAGTAACGGGATCAGAAAATAAGCCTGTGCTTTGGACAAAAATGGATTTCTATCGGGCTGTCCTTGAGTCTTGTTCTTACTGACAAAACTGCGTCTTGCTTGGTTCTTACCCTCTCCCGTTCTCCTTGGCAGTCTCATTTTCAGTACAGCGCGTGTGTTTGCAGCACTTACCGGTTCCCTCTTCATACGTGTGCTTTTCTTCTTGTAACCTGCCATATGTACTGCCTGAATCTGAATTTCTGGGAACTTTATGAAGAGGAAAGGCTGTGGCTTGGTAAGTCTGTAGAAGGCCATCTTGGCTACCTTGAAAGTGGATGAATATCCTGAGACTTACTGAGTGTCAACAGGCTGTACGTTTAAAAGCCCTTTCTACTATCAGATTCTTAACTTCTAATTTCTGTGGGGATGGAGGGGTCCAAGACTTACTTTTCTTTATCCCCTTGCAGAGTACTTTTTCAGATCATCCTCAGATAGATTTAGGGCTTTGCAATTACTTGAGTATTTAGGAAAACCACCTGTGACATGAAACTTAAATGGTTGTGGATGGCTTTGCTGCTTCCTACTGAGCTCTGGAGGAATGTCTGTCATGCAAACTCAAGTATTCTACTCGACATATGGGAAGAGTAGCAGAAGTACTAGAATTGTCTGACGGGCCAGATGACAGCACCTTATTATTTTTTATCCTGCTAATACCTAGAATTGGCGATTTTATCGGTTGTTGTTCTTTTGCAGGACAGCATGGAGAGATTCTTCCCAGAAGCTAGGCCCTTTCTCTTGAAAGCTGAATTCTGCAGATATTGGTGTTTGAGTCCTGCTGTGCCTAGCAAAGAAGCTTCATATTTAAAAGTGGTTTGGTATTACACCATTTTTAAAGAGTGTCAAAGGTATAGGAGGACAGAAGTGCAAGGTATAGGAAAACATGTATTCCTCACACAACTTTGTGGGTTATTTTGTTTGCTTTTCTTGGCTTTACCAGTGCAATTTGTAGCTCAGGTTTGTACTGTGTCCTTTAAAGTGTTTGTTGGAGAGCTTTATTTTGGGGAAATTAGGTGCAGAAACAGTTCTGTGGTAGTGATGCTTTTTTCCAGTGTATTTCAGAGCTTAGTAAAATGGATGTGTTGGGTTTAGGGGAAAAAAAAAAAGGGGGGGGGGGGGAATGAAGACTGACATACAGTGGGACAAAAGCAGTGGCTAGCAGTACATTACTCAAGGTCATTTAGTCAGATAAGGGCTAGGTCTGCTTACTTTTGCTGTGTTCTAACTTTTGTGCTTATCTCCCTGGTGAACCTATAGTAAAAACTAAGGTTCCCATTTTAAGTTGAACATAAGAAGTTAAAATTTATTTTAACCGCTACATCTACTTAAAAAGCTCAACTCTTAATTTTGCCGGGTATTTTTTCCTGCTGTAGTGAGGTGGTGTGTTGTCTGCCTGTAATCCGGTGGCAGCTGGGAGGCTTTAGAGATAAGGGTACAAATTTAAATAAAGCAGGGGAAAAAAAAAAGAGGAAAATATCCCAAAAGCTGATAATGTAAAAATTGCTTTGACTCTCTTATTTTTGCCCTTTACTTGGAGGGTTCTGTGCCAGGGTGCTAACTGTGTGCTAAGCATGAGTAGGGGTTTGCAAAGCTCTCCTGCTCTGGGAGCAGACAGCCATAGTGCCGGTGATCTGTTTGTGCACACCTTTGTGCTTCATGCTCGCTTCCTTTTGCAGGCCAGCTTCTGCTATCCACAGCCTATTTTTTTTTTCCTGTCCCTTGAGCGTGTGGTGTGTGATTTCAGCTCCAAACTATCAGCTAGCAGTTTCCACAACTTACAGATTTTTTTTTTCAAGTAAATAACTACTAACAGAAAGAGAGTTCATAAAGTGCGTGTTAAAATCAAATGTTCCAAAACATGCCAGGGTGTGTTATACCTGATGCTGTTCCTTTTGGCATACGTTTGTAAGTTCTTATGTGAAAGCTGTTAATAGATTGTTATAAAATATAATTCTAAATTTATTTTTCAGCATTGAAGTACTGAGGAAATATCTATGCTCTGTTTACCTTCATTAAAATCCTCTGCATCCCAATCGTAAGGGGAAAGCATGTGGGCAAAGGGCTGGGACCATGGATGCAGCACAGTTTTCAACTAAAAAGCAAGGCATCACCTGGCGCTCCCTAGTATGGAGTGGACAAGGGGTAGTCTGTGTTAATGCTTTCAGAATCGGATTTCTATGGGCTTATTAGTTTTTGGAGATGTTGATATACAAGGTGCTTGCCATCAAAGCTTTGCTACATGATCACTGTGCTGGTCCTGCAGGAAGACTTTACTCTCTAGCTCCTGGCATTTCTGACACTGTAACAAAGTTGTTGACTTCCTAAAAGACGACAGAAGGGAATGGACTGTGAGAGGAAAATGGTCAAAACTTGGAGCCCTTTTCATGCCAGGCATTGAAGAGAATGTTTTCTATTCTCTTTCTAAAAGCAGTGCCCTCAATCTTTCAAGATTATTTCAAATAGCTTTTTTCCAGTACCCTGTGGTTCTGAATCTTGGGCAGTTGTTTATTCCACTGCAGCAGCCGATAGTGTCAACAACCAGAGTTACTGTAGATGTCTTTTCTTTGCAATAAAACTCAAATTTTAGAAACACCTTTAGTTATATTTGTCATTTGCCCTTGTCTTCATTTAAAACATATCTGTGTAAAATGCTCTTTCATATGTTCCTGTTGCTTATTGTCTGGTGAAATCTCAGTTATAATAGAGTAAGATCAGACTCCTAGTAAAGATCCTATTCAATGATTTTCTTTTTGCTGGAAAAGGAAGCAAACGCTGTAGAATACACCGTGCTTTATATTTGTTCTGTAACTACTTTGTTCTGCACTTGCTTATTATAGCAAAGTACTTTGTATAGGCAAGGGGTGCTATGAGACTGCAGTTTGCCTGTCCCTGAAGGGTGTATTAACTGGGGTGCAGCACAGACATAATGCACCCATATGTTTCTAGAGTGGGCTTGCATCAGTTAGCTTGGAGGGCAGGGGAAAGAGCTCGCTTCTGTCAGCATCTGTATGTATAGATGTCTCCCAAATATCATTAGAGACGAGCTTAACTTTTCGCTTTTATTAAGTGGTGGTTAGGTCTCTCACCTAGTTTATTTGCTTACCTTAGTCCCCTTACTGTGATACCTGACGGTCTCCTCTTTCCTGTAAATATCCTCCCTGCATCAGGAATAGCCCCTCTGTGAGGGATGGAAGCAGAGGCGCAGGCAGCATTAGTCGTGTTCACGCTGTATTGACTGCAGCAGGAAATGGAAACTAATTCTGGGCTAATAGTTTGCCCACTGGCTTATTCTTCATACAGTAAACACAGGGTGATCCAGTCTCTTTGACAAGGAGTTCCCAAACCTGTCCTTGTGTTGTGTATTTTCACATTCTTCTCCCTCTGCTCCCCCCGCTGATGTGCAAGTATGCATTTCTATGTATCTGGGTACGCACGGAAGCAGGAGGAAGCATGTGTCCTCCTACACGGCTGTGCTGGTAGCAGCAGCTTCTCCAGGACAAAGTGAGCTTGTTTAACTTTCCTCTTTGCAAGATTTAGCTTGTCAGCTGTCCATTGAGTGAACCAACCTGAATATGATGTTCCAGGGAGTAAATACCTACTTATGATCGGGAAGAGGAACTGGGTGAATGTGATCTTAAATAAATAAATATCAATAGCAAGCAGAAATTTGTTTACTTTACAAATGAAACACTGTTGTCTTGGAACTGTTACAAAGCCACCTATATAGAAAATAACTGAGAGAAGATTGGGCTGGGGTAAATGCCTTATCGGAAGAAAGTGTGTTTAGCTGTGGTGGCTGAAACTTCAGGTATGCTAATCATGCTTTTATCCCCTGTTTTTATAGATTGCTGCTAAAATTGGAGATATTCCTCACTTGAATAATTCCACAACACTTGTGGACCCGTCAGTCTATGGTTATGGAGTGCAGAAACGGCCCCTGGATGACGGAGGTAAGCGGGCTATGATTAGTCAGTCTTGTGGATGCGGCTCCTGAAATTCATCTGTGGAGGCAGTTGTCTGCTTTAAGGACAGAAATCAATGCATTGTCCTGGGTATAGAAATTTTATAGAAGATTCCCTGTGCTGTTCAGTCTTATCTAGACAGCGCAGCGCTCCTAGGCATTAGTGTTATTAATGTGAAACAATTCTTTCTTAGTTCATGAACTTTGGGAATTAGCAAATGAACTCTGTAATTTAAATCTTGTTCTGTGGTAGTTGGGGGGTGGAGGGGAGAGGAGGATGTGCTTATTGGAACTGTGCTGGAGCCCGTGTATAGAGTACCAGATGTACATAGTAAAGCTGTTCTTCCCTGATGACCCTTATTTTCTGAGAGCAGGCAGAGTGTAGGGACAGTATTATATGTGCTCCTTTCCATGTGTAGCAGTGGTCACAGCACAGTAGTTGAGTCGCTGTCAAGAGCTCTGATTGCTTTGTACATGAATTTTAAGGGGAAAGGGTGTTGGTGTAAGTTGATGCAAATTGGAAGGAAACTTCCCATATTAGGCTTAGCTTTTTTCATAATGGTACTTTGAGGATTCTTAAATCTCTAAAGCATTTAACATCAGCCACAGCCAAAGAATAATTCACTGGGTGGACCATATCTGGTAACTGTAAGGACTTAATACTGTATGAAGTGTTACAATTTTAAAATAAGTTCCTAGCTTCTTATCTTTGGCGGGAACAACAAAAATGTTAGAACAGGTGTTTTCTTTTTTTACAAATCTAATGATGTGCACTGTTACAAGAAGTGTTTAAATTATATTATCTGTTGGTGTATGGATGCAAAGAGCTCACCTTTTCCTGTGGTTGGCTATAGGAAAAAAAAAAAGTGGCTATGTCTTCGTTTTCCTATTTCCTCTAGTATTTTTACTGACACAAGTAGCCCTGCAGGGTGATTCTCTCCCTCACAGATATGTTCAGGAGTATTGAAGAGAAAAGCAAAGCTGCTGCCTAGCACTTCATTTTGAAAATAATTTTTTCTGTCCGATACAAAGCTGCGTGAGGCAAAGACTGAAAATACTGCATGTCTGCTTCTCATTCTGAAAAAAACGTGCTGGAGCACGGGGAGAAGTTTCTTTCATGTGGGTCCTCTGGCTTGCTAACACTACTGTTTTCTGAATGCATGCCACAACCCACTTTGTTCTCTGGTGTTGGCTGTGTTTGAGCAAGAGGTTGCTGCTCCTTTGGTTTGGTGTTTTAGGAAAGACTGGGGTTTTTCTGGGTCTGTGCCTTATATCTCAGGCTGGAGCATTGCTATGAGAAGCCAGAGGCCTGGTATTAGTGGTATGTGTTGGTTTCTGTATGGGAAGGTGCTCGGCTGTCAAGCAGGCTGTTCAGCATTGAAGAATGCTGAAAAACTTTGAGCTGTGTCTGAATGGCTTAGATAAGCGGCTATATGTGTAAAAGAATAAAAGTAGCCTTCTAGGAATTAGTCATTTGTAACATTAGTCCTGCCTGTTTCTTTCATTGATTCATCAGACTGAACTGAGGAATCTGACCTCTTGACAAAACAGGTTTTCATGAACTTTTAACATGTGAAATGGTCGTAGCGCTTAGTGACAGCACAAGTTAGACTTTGTACTTAAACTTTTACTGGTGAGCCCTATTACTTGCTGAGCCTTGTTTGTGTTGACACAAACCATGTCAGTACAGTTGGAGTCTGGGCTATAAATGTACATTACTGCTGGTTTATTGTGCTGTGATAGATAACTCCACGGAGCAGGTACTATTCCTGGGAGAGCCTTCCAGGGTGGCCATACTCTTGAGTGTTGTATTGGCAGTTATTCTGCTGATGTAAAGACTACAGGTGTTTGCTTACCGTGGGTGCTTATTCAGCACTGGGCCTTCTTTGTAACTGTTTTCTAAAGTAGCTCCAAGTGCTGTATTGCCCTTGGGTTCTTCGTATACATCTGTAGACATTACAGCTTTGTTCAACTCCCTTCCCCAAAATGTGATCTGTAAGATCTTAGAGGAGAAATGATGGAAGTGATATTTTAAAGGGCTGGAATTTCACAAAGAAAACAGAATTGTCAGGGTAGGAGCAAGGGTTGTATCGCTTCTTTCAGTTTTGGTCATCGTGGGTTTTATTTCTAATGGCATTAGTAAATCCTGTACTGAAATACGATTGTGCGACGAGTTCCCCACCTAACCACATAATCCTCCTGCGCTGCTCTTTAATGCATACCCAGAACTGCAGCCTGGCAAAGGAACTCCTGAAGCAGCGAGTGCTTCTTGCTCTGTATTTGTTTGTGGTATGATCCATACCTCAGTCTTGGGCTACCTGCTCTCGCTGCCATGGCATTAGAAGTCTATAATGCAGCTTTGGCTTTAGGCGTCTGGAAGATGGCAGGTGCTTTTAGTAGGATGCTTAAATTAGGAAAGCACTCCTATTTGGATGATCTTTTAGTCCTCTGTTAGCTGTGAACAAGGGATGTTGGGATTGCATGCCCACACTTTTCTCCATTTTCTGCTTGTCTGCGAACCACAGTTTGGAGACATTGTTGTCAAGAAGCAATTATTTATATTGTTACACATGCTCTAGAAATTTTATAGTGCGGGGGTTTGGATGCATTCTGCTGCTCTGGATAGCTTGGAAACAAATCTGGTGGTAAATCTTTTGATTGTTTACTTCTGTATACTGCGTGTTCACAGCTGGGTGCAGTTGTCGCTGCTGCCTTATCCCCATGTAGCTGTTAGAAAATTACTTCTGTTCCTAATACTCCTCAAAAAAAATTGGGTTCAGGGGAAGTATTTAAGGTGACAAGAAAACTGTCTGTCTTTCAGGAATATCTAATTCTGCCTGTCCATTTTTGTAAATGGCTGCTGGCGTGGCTGATTGATGTCAGCTTAGGAAGTGGTCTTAAGACAGGGTGACAGTGTGCTGGTCAAAACAAATTCAGCTGCTTTCAGAGCCTTTCCAGGAAAAATAGATTTGTCATAGTATTGGAAACGAGAACGTGTGAGTGCCTTTTGCACTTCCCTTAACATAACCTTCATCTGAAACGAAGAGCTGCTAGGATTGGCCCTGGTGACCTGGCCTATTGGTATTAGATGGAGCTTGAGACTGATTATTTCTCTTTTCCCTGGCTTCTTTATTTCCCCTTTCTGGAAACAACTTTAAAGTAATCCTGTAAATAGCTATAGTGCAGGGAGGAGATCAGGTTTATTTATACTGCTCACAGTAAGTCGTAGTCAGCATTTATATGGCCACTTGCAGCAGTTGATGTCTCTCAGCGAAGGTGAGCACTAGAGATCAGGTTTGCTCTGAGCTGCAGAGAGACCTGGTGGCATCTTGCTCGTGGCTCGCTGCTGAGGATAGGTCCCAGCCCTCCTGTTAATGGTCAACGGCTGATCCTGGCCTCCATTCTAATTAATGGGTCCCTCTAATTACCAGCACAATTTAATAAGTTTATTTAATGCTAAATAATCCTTAAAAAAACCAGACTCCTTGTTCAAAGGAAGCAGGGGTCTAGTCTGCTGGAAAGAGACTGATCGCCAGAACATTAGCCTTCCTTAGCCCTGTTTTGGACTGCTTTGAAGAAGTTTCCAGCGATATATGTAGGGTTAAGCAGCAGTGTTGCAGCTGAAGGCTGGGGCATCCTTTGAGTCTGGGGAAACAAAGATGAGAGACCTCGGAGAAGCCTCACACCCCCCTCTCTCCATCCCCTGCCTTCCCCAAGCTTCTGTGGTGCATCCAAATATGAAGAGGGCCTGTTTTGGTGTAATAAAACTTCATTGTAGTAGAGCCGAGGGGCTGAAATGCACCATGATCCTGTTGTACAGAATACTTTATTCCTTTGCACCAACATGTTTTCAATGGAAAAGGCAATGGGCAGAAGGAAATCTTAACCCTGTCTTACTGATGATGAAAGTTAGTAGTGATGCTCCTTGACAGATCTGTAGCAGCAGTAGGACCAGGGCAAAGTCCCAATCTCTTGGCAAAAGGTTTAGTGCAATACACAAAATCCCAGTGTTCTTCAAATTTCAACTTTACAGATCACCATTTTTTAAAATAAGGCAGTTTAAGGGAGAGGGGGGGAAGCCTATAAAGATTTGCAGTGAAGGCATTATTAGGTTTTGACCATATAATTAAAGAAAAACCTAGCAGTATTTAATGATGAAGAATTAGGGTAACTAATGTCTTCCTTGTAGCTTTCTAAAATTGATGATGACCCCATTTTGTTCAAAATTATGAAATGCAACCCTATTCTACTGCTCTCCAGGAGATGCGTTGCTCTGATTTTATTCTAGCCATGAAGATATTCTTGACGAGATTGTATATTCCCATCATGCACATTAATTTAGTGGGAGGCACTGCTCTGTTTTATGGGGTGGAAAAAAAAAATCCACATTTGTTTTGAGTGTCTGTTAGGTAGAATTCAGTTAAGGTGAAGCCTAAAGCAGAGTGAAGAGTTATCAACCAGCAGGTGCCATTAATAGGAAATTGTGCTGATTTTATTCAGTATTTTTCCTTATTTGCAGTAAAATGACTGCAGTTACAGTTAAATTGTACTCAATAGATGTAAAAGGGGGAAATACGTACGCGGTTTGTCAGAGTTCAGCCCCCTTCCTGGTGTGAAGAGGGAGATGGTGGAACAGAATATCAGCTTTCAGTACTGCAGCGAGCACAGTCTGCCCCAGCCCTGCCTCTCTATTAGTCCCTGTCTTTCAGAGCAAAATGGGCATGTTGGAGAAGGAATGGACCTTTAGGTTGTTGGAATAGGGAGCCATGTCATTTCTTTTTTTCCCCCCAAAACAGAGAGAAATCATAACTGACTTCAAGTAAATCACTCCCAGTTCTCTCCATCTGCCTTCTATCTCGGCTCACGGAGAGGTTATTTGTGAAATGTGGAAGGAATGACCTCGCACATGAGTTATGGTGGTTTAATTTTTTTAACTAATTTGTACAACAAATATATAGTAAGGCTGATATCTGCCTGGAGTGATGAATGGCTTACTATGTTTGCATAGAATGGGTTGGAGACATTAAGTACATCTAAAGCATTATTTCCCTGACTGATTTAACTTCTTGTGCTCATACAGTTTTCCCCTAAGAAGTTGTCTTTTTCAAGTGTAGGATTGTGTTACAAAATGAAGGCTCTTCCGTTCCTTGCGTGAACTTCAGGAGTTGATTATAGGATGTGTATCTGTCTCATAATTTGTGGGCAGCGGCTGCAGTGGAACAGACTGCTAAGAGAGCTGTTATGGTGAATTGAAATGCGAAGTGGATATTTAAATACAGCCTGGTAGTGTTAAGAGCACTCTTTCTGGCATCTTGGGATAATGAGTGGCCTGGTCTGTGGCAAGGGCAATCCCATACTACAGGAATAGCTACCAGACCTATTGTGCCTAGTAGGAATGTTCGGAGCACAGTTTGGGGCAAGATGGCAAGATCCTGAATTTGTTTGGTCATATTTGCTCAGCTCTGCGGTAGTAGCTTATCAGCTAGAGCAAATATTCCCCATTACATCACCCACCTTTTTCAACTGCACTATTGATAGTTATCAAATTAGAGCTTTTTATATTCAGAGTGAGAATATGCAAAGACAAATCTAACTGAGTCAATAACGCAGCAGTTGTCTTATCACTGAGCTGGGGAGAGTAATAAAATATATATGCTGTCGATATTTTGGTCGTGAACTATTATGACGGTATTGACATGCAGCAGAAATACAGTATTGACGCTCTTTGTCTATTTTATTTGAGTAAAGTGTTGGGCTGCAAACTTTATGCATTTTTCTACCGGATTTAGAGAGTGTGGGATGCATCCGCTTGCTAACCCTGCCAGCTGATTGCCAATTTATTTCAGGTCAAAGAATGTGCAGGTTGCTGCAAGGTAGTTTGAAACAGCATCTTTATTATCACAGCTCACATGTTGGCCGGTTTCATTTGTTTCGCTACTTGTGCCCTCCAGGCATGCAATATAATCTTTCAACTGGTTGTTAGGACCAAATGGTCTGGTTTTTAGCTGGTTTGCTGCAGGCAAAGTCCAGTAGGAAGCCCAGCAGGGCATGTGTTCCCACTTTGCATGAGTTGGTCTAATATTTTCCCCATTAACATTTGGAAGATCTAATCTATGGGGGTAGGGGGGGAAGAAATCTGTTTGAGGGCTGTCAGCTGGGCAGATAACTGCTAATCATAAATGGACCACCAGCTAACATCACAGATATGCCTGGAATGTGTGTATTCAGTAAAATGTGGTGTTTTTTTAAAAAAAAAATAAAAATTACTGTTTGGGTGCCACAAGGTTACTTAACAGACCTATTCCTTTAACAGGTCTCCGTGTAAGTGGGCTCCATGGAGCACAGATAAGAGATGCAGAGAGAAGTATGTGCAAGTGGTCTTTGATGCTTTTTGACTAGACTAAATCTCTGAGTCTGCTCAGCTTTTTTTGTTTGTTTGTTTTTTAATACATACCAGTCTCCTTGAAATTTCTCTTCTTCCCCTTCCCTCCCCCCTTTTTTTCCTTTTTTTTTTACTACTTTGGGCTTCATTTGGGAAGGGGGGAGGTTAGTTGCAGGGATTTGGATTTCAGCAGGCAGGATTTTCTCCCATGACTCTCAGCATGGGGAGACACAGATCAATTCCTTATCCTGTGTTCAGCTGGACACTGGGTTATGGTGTGTGTTGATCAAGAAATCCCCTCCTGTTTTGTACCACATAACACATTCATTGCAGCCACTGAACCTAAATTACTGTTTTGCTTTTCTTTCTTTTTTGATGAAATGGTAAGAACTCTTTTTCTATAGGGATGAAGTTAGTTTATCCGTGCTAATGCTTTGATTTTTTTCCTTTTTTCTCTCTCTGCCACAGTAGGTAACCAGTTAGGGGCCCTGGTACATCAAAGGTAAGCAGTGGGTTATGTTTTATTATTTATTGATCAATTCTAATTGTTTATTGATCCACCATCTGTAGTAGTGTTAGGAAGTCAGAGGTTGAGAATGTGGAGAAACTGTCAGCTTAGGTTTTCTCCAGGCTGGAGTTTCTGCTAACCCTTTAAGGCTGTTTGTTGTGATGAAGAAAGAAGAGCTGATGTGAAACTTGGATTTGGTTCCTGAAAATCTGCAGGACTGAGCAGAATAAATTCTCTCTCCTCTCCCTTCCCCTGCCCTGGGTGGGGGGAAGAAAGAAAAAGTAAAAAAAAAAAAAAAAAAAAGCGCTCTGGCATTTTGACAGAAGTTGGAAGTATTAAATGAGCAGGTAGATTTTTAAAATTATTATTATTTTATTTTTTATTTTAGTTTTGTTGGTGTAATATGACCTGGGATGACTCCTTTGTCAAAGATGGGTTTGGGGGACTGAAGCAAGTACGACATGTTGTGCAGCATTTCTTAGGATCTAATACAAAAGTAAAATTCTCAGTTTTTCTTGAATCCTGCTCTTAAGAAGTTGACTGTCTTGTTTTGAGTAGGAAGGGGAGAGCATTTCTAAAGCTGGATTCACCTTCGAGCTAATAATAGTGCATTTCCATCGTAACCAGCTGTTTGTTTGAGGGCCTCAGCAGAAAGGACAAACAATACACATAAAGACCTTCAATTTTTAATGGTAGGTTAAAGCTAATGCCTATCTAGGGCAGCACAGAGAAAGGTGGGCAGCGTTGTCTGCTCTGCTGCTACCTGCCACCTCTCTTCTGCCAGGAGTGATGTTCAAGTAGGGAATTGAATAGGCTGTAAAGCCTGAAGTGGTTTCTTTCTGGGTTTGGTGGTTGGTTTTCTGCTAGGTTAGCTTCTTTGTCCAGCTGCAACTGTTTCTCCAACACAGGGTGGTTAACAAATGATGCAGGATTGGATGTTTTGGCAACAGACTGGGTTTATTCCAGGTTAACACAGTGGTAATTCTGAACCTCCCTGTTCTGTTGTGGGTATGGATGGCACTGTTTGGTTTTGCATCTCGGCTGGTGAGCCTCGGGATGGTGGAGAGTACTTATCTGCAGGTTAGCTGGTGAAGTCTAATGTGTACTTTATGCCTTCCCTAACTGATCTAAATCAAAAAATTGGAAGATTTTAGTATACCTCACCACAAAACCTGCATTGAACTTATTATGCAGGTGTTTCATTGCTTTTGAGAATGCTGAACAAATTGTATATAATGCATGTCTAAATATATGGAGTTTGTAAATTCCATATGCATTGTGTTGTATTTTCTACAAGAGAGAAATGGCTAAGCAAAAAAACATCCAAGGTAATTTCTTTCTGACTACGGTCAGGTCTTAAGAAATTGCTTTGGGTGCTACATTTTGAGGCAGAGACACATTGGAAAAGTCCAAAGAGCAATAGATAGGGAAGTCTTGAGGTAAGACTTCAAAGGATAATTGAAGACAGCTTTTATAAATTCAAAGGAAAAGAATGATAGGGACAAACAGGCAAAAAAAGAATCTGTGAATATCGGAGGGGACATTCATATGAGGGTTGGCTTTGGTTAGTGTCTCTTGGCAAGAGCATATGCAAAAGTAGTAGGCAAAGACTGTGGCTTGTAAGGTCTAAGCTAAATATTAAAGAAATTTTGCCATTATACCGTTAAAACTGTCTGGAGCAAGAATGACAAAAAGAGGCTCTTCTGTCCGTTGCATTAAGGATAATGGAGGGTAGGCTGGAAATGTATCCATGTATCCAGCGTAGGAGAAATTAGGTGACCATGAGAGGTCCCTTCCAAAACAAAAGATTTTGTGATGTAGTGTTTACTTGTTGTGTGCAAAAGCGTTATGCTGTGCCTGGTTTCCATGGCATGGACATAGTTGTCTTCCAAATTGTTCCTTGTAATGACTATTTGATTTTTTTTTTTTTTTTTTTTTTTTTTTAAGGACTGTAATAACAGAAGACTTCAAAGTGCCTGATAAAATGGTTGGATTTAGTAAGTACCTTGGATGCTTTTCATATGTTTCTTGATGTGTCTTCTGTACAGAAATGCTGTTTGTTCCCATATGCTCACAAGTTTTTGTGCTTGCTGGCCTTGGATAAGCCTTGTCTAATGCTGTCTTCATGGGGACCAGATGAACTGTGTTTAAAATCCGGGTGCAAACTGCATGGAAAAGCTTCATGTCCCAGTAATAAGAACAAGACTGTGTAGTACAGGTTACTGAGAGTTTTAGTGGTTCTCTCCTTTAAATTCCCACTAGCATAGTACATAAACAAGTCAAAAGTGAATTTATTTCCCCTTACTGAAACATTTTACTTCCTTTGAGTATGCAAAACTGTGAGAGTTGAGGGAGGAAAACAACTTTTAAATGCTAAAATAAAAGTTGACTTAAGGCAAGTTAAACAGAATTTTAAATCTCTCCTACGCTTGCTGCAGGGAAATACAACCAGCATGCATTGCTCAGATGAGAATTTTTCCTAGATTTGCATTCCTGATACTGTTCTCTTTCAAGCTTGATCCTAATTTCTCTCTTCCTCTTGATGATCATTACTCTTCCTTTCAATGGCACCTCCTGCTGTTGTGTTACTACAGTGATTGCACTGACTCTTCCACTGCTAGATCTCTGTGTATCTCTTCCCATTTGATATATGAAGAGTAAAAAGGAAAATAACAGGCCATGATAATTACCCCTTAGTGCGTGAGGTTTTGTCCTGAATCTAAAGACACTGTAAAACTGTAACTCAAATTCCTGCGAAGGAAACACTCGCTCTCCTCCAGCCAGACCTCTTCGTTCGTTACCAGACCTCATGGGTCCTGGTACCACGCATGTTGGGGATCACTGGAGGGACGCTGGAGCTCTGTGAGAGGGCAGCCTGCATGCTCTGTCAGTGCATCATCTCTGTGTTAAATCTAATCCTGGTTCAGGGCAGACAGATGCAGGAAGGTGCTAAACCTACAGCTGAGAGATGCTTCTGTGAGAGCATCTTGAGCTAGGCATACCTGTTTGACTTGACAGTTCTGCTCCTTTTTGCAGTCTGGGAAGGGTATGAATGGTGATTGGCACACAGCCTCTCCCCAGTACGTCTCTTTGTGAAACAGCAATGTGCCGATGCCAAGAATTAAGGGAGATGGGTATTTGTTTTCACTTAAGGTTTGATAGAGCATTTCAGTATGTAGCAGTTTTGGCGTGTCTGCACTCAGACAAATAGCATGTCCTTTGAAAAGAGGTAGTAAAATATGAATTTTAAAGAAATAAAAGCAAAAGTCTTTGCCTTTTTTAGTACTCCAAATAACTGGTTTATTGGTTCAGGCTGAACAAGATACACTCTTCTAGCAGCACTCAAATTAGTGCCTTATTTCTTGCATACTATGTATTTCCATTCCAGTGCAAGGCAGGCTGCTTTGTTTTGTTTTTCCAAGCAAATAGAATAACTTTCAGCAGTGTCTTAGTGTTTTTCTGCTATGATAAATTTGCTCATGCTGTGGATGCCTCTTCTGCAATCCTGGAGTCAAACTGTTCCTTTATAGATAGCTGAAGCGGAGTAAAAGGGGGAAGGTGCTCTGTAGTTACTCAGGAAAATGGTATGTTCTGATGCTTTTTGAACTCATTTCAGTAATCGGCAGGGGAGGTGAACAGATCTCAAGGATTCAGGCAGAGTCTGGCTGCAAAATTCAAATTGCTCCAGGTAAGAGCCTCTTTGTATGGCAGGTGAACAGGTTTTAATGTTGAAGGGTGTTATGTCCATTAGATCAGGTGCCTTGCCATGCGCATGGTGTGTTATTCCTGTTAACAGTTGATATATACTTGGCTAACATGCATGGGAGAGCTCCTGACTAGCATAGGAAACAGGTTTGTCAGGTGGTTTGGGGAATGAAACAATTAAGGAACTGTCTTTAACCAACAGATGGGTACAGTGAAAACGGACAGTCCATGTGGTACTTAGACCTGACATTGCAGCTGTTGAGTTTTCTCCTGGTGGTACCGCTTTGCTCAGCTCTGCGGTTTGTCTCTGATTAGTCTGGTGAGGTCCAACTCCTGGCAGAAGACATCTCAGGAGGGTGGCAGCAGCCCTTTGTACAGTTTGCCTTGCATCGAAAAAATGGGACCATCAGTTTGTTCTGTGCTAGTGCCTATTTGCTTTGGGGAAGACTGTACTGCAGTGCTGTCCAGGAAACTGTTGATGAATGTAATCAACAAACCGTAATCAAGTTCTTACCCCTCCCGTTAGTTTGGTGGGGATGGCTTTAAAAGAATGCAGACATCCAGCAAATCATTTAAAACATGTTGACCCTGGATGTCTTTGAATTCATTAATGTGCTCTGTGTGCAGGGGCGGGGGGGCAGTGCTTCCATTAGTGCTTGACAGTTACTGAAACAACTGCCATTTCTTTAATTCCGTGTATTAAAAGTTTCTTCCTTGTTTCCTTTGTAGACAGCGGTGGGATGCCCGAGCGGCCCTGTGTACTCACCGGGACGCCAGAGAGCATTGAGTGAGTTCTGATTTCATTTTTCTCCTTTCTCCTTCTCTCTCTTCTCCCTAATGCTGTGCTCTGTCAGTGCTACTTGGTTAGCCACACCAGCAAATGTTGGCCTAGACAAACTTGAGGGTCTCTGGAGCATAGAACCTCTTGGTCTGATGCTTTAAACTGTGCACCTCAAAGGCTTTTTTCCAGTTGCAGTTTGAACCCTTTGCAGAAATTTCCTTGGAATTCTCCTCCGCAGGGCAAGGTTGCTCTTAGGGCACCTAGGATGCAGTTTTCTAACTGCAGCTTTTCAGGATACTGAGCTAAGCTGTTGAAGGGCACTTCTTTTCTCCCCTTCGCTTCCCTACTCCTATTGAGATGACCATCCTTCCAGCTGAAGAAGGGCTGCATGAGGCCTCCAAAGCCTATCGGTGCCACTCCAGAATAATCTGGAGGTGTTGGTGTTGTTGCAGAGCAGCATGAGGCCCATGGGTGTGCTTGCCTCTGCATCGCTGCCAACAAGAAGCAAAGGACTGAACCAAAGTCTTGAATTCTGATCCCTGCATGGTAGAGACACGTGGCCAGCCAGCAGGGGTTTCTACTCTTTAGACCTATAGAAACTTTAGGGACAGTGTTTCCTCCCTCCCCCTTCCCAGGAGCTGAGTTTGAGACTCTCACAAACCAGTTGAGGACCTCCTGCTGGAACTGGATCCAGGATCCTCAGGCTTACAGGAACACACTTAACATATGGAGCTGCTCTTTCTCTCCCCAGCCTTTGGGTAGGTGGGTTTTTTAAAATCCATCTGGAAATCTTTGAGTTGCATTTGATAGTGAAAATACATGGGCGCAAAGACTGTCTCTCTAAAGAGAAGACACTCATCATTCTTCCATTCCTAAGAGATCTAAGGGTACTTAAATCTCCTTATTCTACCATAATACTGCAAGCAGTGAGCCAGAATAAATATAATTGGCAAGCTCACGTTATAGGGCAGGCAATGTATTCTTGCTGATATTGAAGTGCTCTTCCCCCTTTAGCAAAGGATATTTCAGAACAAGAGCAAAATATTAAAAAGCTGGGATGCCTGATGAGATGCAGTTGGGGGAAGATGGGGGAGAGGTATAGTTAAGACTTCATGGTCCTGAAATAAGCAGTTAAATGTAGTCATGTCCAAGTCTGTCTTTAAATAAAATATAAATAAATAAAAAAAAAAGTGAGAATACTCGATTTGTGAAGCGGAACAACGTGTTGAGGACATGGAATTAGGTGAAATCTAATTTACTTTTGTGCTAAAATTCTTGTCAGGTTGGTTATTTGAACTATTTTTTCAGGCTGCTTGTAGAAAAAGAAAGTGAAGTGAGGAAACCAATCTAGATGACAGACTTCTTTGAAGGGTTTTGTGAGGAGTGTTTCCATTAGTTATATCCAGTGGCAAACTGATAGGGTTAATTTCCAAATGACCCCTTCTCATCTGAAATATGTTGTGTATTAACTGTTGTAGTCTCTATATTGTCACTGAAAGAATTTTATGCAAAATATGAAAGTAGATGAATAGAACCTCTTAAGAGTCTTCCAGAATATTTGAAGCGGGCTTCCAGAAATTCCACCTTTTGCCTTGTTTTGTGAGAAAGTCAAGAGAAAGCAGTGCCTGATCTGTGTGCAGCCTCAGATCGCTACTCCCTGAGCTGTCTTGGGTGAATGTCTGCTTGCAAGGGATGACTTTGTACTGTTTCTTCAAATTGCCAGAGAGAAGACAGTCCTCCTAGGGTGCCTGATATGGCTTGGTATGAAGTGGAGAGAGGGGAAGATGCTGCTTTAGACTGAATAGGGAACTGGTGACTTTCTTCTATCTACTTTGAGAAGGGTTGTGGGAGAAGGGCTGTGGGAGAAGGGCAGAAAAGCGATGTGTTGGTACTAGGAGTCTTCAAGATGAAGGGAAACCCTATCAGTTAACCTCTGACATGCTAAAGATTTTAGAGAAGGGATCTTTAATCTCCCAAATGCTTCTTTGTGTGTCTCTTCTCACCAGGAGTAGAAGAACCCAGTCTTTCACTGGTTGCTGCTGCAGTATCCTTGCCTTGCTTCGCGGTGTAGCTTCAGCACTTACTGCTTGGGGCAGAGGCTGTGTTAGAACAGTGTTCTGGTGCTGCTGGTAAGAGCAGGCAGAGAAGAGCAAGGCAGTTGCCTGTGATTGATCGGAGAGTGGTTAACCAACATGCTGTGCTAGCATCAGAGCAGTGTGTGGTTTTCTTGTCTTCATCAAGAAGGAGAACAGAGTTTAAGTTTTACCAAATACTGTATATATGTTAAAAAAGTTTAGAACCTAGAGCATCTTCATTCAAAATAAGCACCCCAAATGCTATAGCTCAGCTATTATCCTTAACTTCCAAAGAGGTCGGAGCATGCTGCTGCTCTTCCTTCTCTCTTCCCCTTTCAAAAATCAAACTGCTTATAAGTGATCATGATAGGGGAAAATATACATCAGAGAGGTTTTTTTTAAAAAAAAAAAGCAAACATTGTGCTAACTGTGGTTTCCTCCATCTTTTCACTTCTTCTCCTCTCCCTGATCGCTTCCCATTCCAATGGTTCCTGGTCTCTTGATCACGTGGAACAATGTTGTCTAATGGTTGTTTCCCTCGATTCTTTTCCAAAGACAAGCAAAACGGCTACTGGGGCAGATTGTAGATCGCTGTCGGAACGGACCTGGTTTTCACAACGATGTTGATGGCAACAGTACGATTCAGGAGATTTTGATCCCGGCATCCAAAGTGGGTCTAGTCATCGGCAAAGGAGGTGAAACAATAAAACAGTTGCAGGTGCGCAAGATGCATTTACTTTAGGGCTCTCTTCCCTACTGCAGCTTCTCTAGATCAACAAGAGCATGCTGAAATGGAGAGCCTTAAATGCTCTAACCTTCTACAGCAGGGACTACTCTTCTGCCTTCGGAGAGCTGGACTCAAATCCAATCTTGTGTTAAAAAAGAAATCGGTTTGGCCCCAGCTACACGTGTAGTGGAGTTTTGCCAGAACTGTGAACGAAACTCGTGTGCTTTAGATAACATTTGGTGCGCACTGTTTAGGAGGGGATCCTTGTAGCCAAGAAAAGGCTATCTCTAGCCTGCTGCTGCAATAGTTTTTAATGCCAGCCATGCTGTTGTACTGTGCTTCTCTTTTGTTGCTGATCTGTGATAAAGCTGGCGTGTCTTCCTTTTTTTTTTTCTTATCCCACCCCTTTCTAATTAAAAGTGTTGTGTTATGTATAAGTCTGTGTTCCTAGACATTCTTTATTCCTCCATCTGGGACAAGTTTTTTTAAAGAACAGAGGGTTTCAGAAAAGCGCCTAGGTCAAAAATGTGGTTTTTTGAGTGCCATGATTTAGGCCTCTGTCATCTAATAGTTTTAAGGCTGGTCACTTAATAACTATTATATGCAGACAGCTACAGATTTTGGAAAGGGCTGAAAAATCAGTTGTTGAGGCAGAGGGATTCTCTTTGCAAGGAATTCAGCTATTTGAGAACTTCAGGAGTAGCACACATTCTGGCAGTCCTTTACACTCTAGGACTGTTACTGAATTTGTGCTATAAGTACCTGTGAAGAGCTAAAGTAGTGGTCTGTAAAGCTGCTGATTTGACCTATGTAATGTTTAGTAACCAAAATATAGTCCCTTGTTTTAGGGACTCTGCTTAGCAAAGTGCTTTGTGCTTTTTCTTCAGGAGCGAACAGGTGTGAAAATGATTATGATCCAAGATGGTCCGTTGCCTACTGGAGCAGATAAACCTCTCCGTATTACTGGAGATGCATTTAAAGTACAGGTATGTAATAAAAGTAAGCAGTTGCCCCAGAGAACTGAGGAGAAATTTAGACTTTAGTATATTTGTGAGCATGTAGTGGAGTCAAATCCAACTGTAAATGTAAGCTCGTTTTGTTTGTTTTGTAAGGTTGAAGTTTGAGTAGAGCAAGTTAAAACACCAGACTGGCAAGTGTTGGCTTGTTTACAGCATAGCCTAGGAGATCTCACTTCATGTAGATATTAGACATGGGTAGGAGAAGAGCTGAGGAGGAGGGTTTGGAGAAAGTAGCTTTGAAATGCTTTCCAGTCCATGAAGCAAAATTGTAGGTGTATGTTACTTGAGCAAATGGGTTTTTAGTGACGAACTTAACCACACATTTGAGAAAGTTTTGTGGAAGGTTCATTATCTCAGACAGCCAATTGACGCAGGTAATTAAAAAAAGAAAAAACAACCCATGACAACTCCTGAAACCAAGGGGTTTGCTTAATATTGGTACCTCAGTCTCCTTGTGTCAGGGTTCTACAGATGTGTTCATACCTGCGGTTCAAAGCAAAAACACATGATCAGCTGGAGACTGGAAGACTGCAGCATGATGGGAATGCTTGAATTAAAGAATTACAGTTTAGCTGTGGCATGTTCCACTTCTCAGCAAGTGCTTTTCATACCTTGCTAAGTACTTAAATCTAGCTTAGCATTCCTGGCTCTAATAAAAGTAGTTCTGTTTCATAGGATCTCCCTAATCATAAATTGCTGCAACAGTTGATGTTGCTCAGGGATAGTATGTTTGGGTTGTATTTTTCAAGCCTCTTATTGCAAGTGGGCTTTTAGATTTAAATGTGGTAGGCTGTTTGTTTTGGGTTTTTTTCCAAATTCCTATTGTGGAGGTATAGATATGCAGAAAGGAGTTTAATGGCAATCTTGCTACTTTTAACCAAATCATGCTTTAAGTGCTGCTACTTCCCAGGTGGTTTATTCTGCCTTGCAAGATTTGCTGTTGTCACATCTTCCGTGCCATAAATCATGCCAAGCAATCATGGAGACTGCATAGGCTGGAAGATCTTTGAGGCGCTTAGTAGAGTTGAGCACACTTAGAAAGCACTTAAGAAGCTTGATGAATCCTTGGGTTTGGTGGGATTCTCTGGATGCTGCGACAGTGTGTCTGAACTCTCTTAAATCCCTGTGAAATCTCTCCATTGCCCTTATTTCTGTCTTGGCATCTCTGAAATGTCGAGTCGTTTCCTTCTGTAAAAAAAATACCACGGGGGCATGGAAAATATGTAAAAATGTGCAAAGAGTCAGATTCACCCGTGTCCCTCAGACTTGGAAATAAAACCAAAATGTCAAAAGCTTGACTGGTTAATATATACAAAAAAAGGCTTTGGTTTTGACGTGTAGGCTTTTTTTTTTAATGGTGGCTACTGTTGGCTTATTTCCAAGGTACACTTTTACTAGCTGGGCTACATGCAAACTTGTGAATGGTTGAGGGCTGCAAGTAGATAGGAAGAATATTCATTTGTCTCAAAATGTCTTGCTGGATTGCTGCAGACTTGGGCTTAACTTTTGAGTGTCAGTAAGCTCACTACTACCCACCTGCCTCCCTGGTACGTGCTCTCTAGCTCTTAGTGGACATGCTCCCAGCTATGCTACCGCAGCTTCTACCTTACTATATCAGTTTCAGTTCTATCCAGTAGGAAAGGGCCTTCCCTGCCATTAATTTAAAAACAAAACACAAAAAATCAAAGATATTTTAAAAGCTAAAGGGCCTTTTTGAAAGGCTAAAAGAAGCAATTGCACACAAGAAACTGCTGCCTCGCACACTTGGCAGGTTTTGTCAGACATGGAAGATGCCATCAAGAACAGATCTCCATTGACTGGTAAAAGAAATTCTAAATCAGAATGCTGTTTCTGTTAAGCAGATGGAGATTGCTTTGCCTGAAGCCTGACCATTAGCCACTGCTGAGGCCCTAACACCAAGATGGCAAGCAGAATAATTTTAAGCTAACTGTAACTTCTTTCCCCATGTAGCAAGCAAGGGAAATGGTACTGGAGATCATCCGAGAGAAAGATCAGGCAGACTTCCGAGGCGTACGCAATGATTTCAGTTCTAGAATGGGAGGAGGCAGCATAGAGGTATGTTTTCTTCACAAGTACTCTGCTAACCTCCCTGTGGGATGGGTAGTGGGTGGAAGTCATCAAATTGCACATGTAACCTGTAAGCTTATTTTTAAATGCATTGTGTTCTGTTGCCAGAAGAGTGAGTTTGGCTGCAAAGCAGAGGAGTTCGCATGGACTTCCAGATGGCACTTTTCTAATTGTCTTTTTAAGCTGCATTCTTGTAGTGCAGAGTTCATTTAGTGGGGAAGGAATTTGTGGCCACATGTTTGTTTTTCTTAGCAATATGGTTCTGTAGCCTGGAGCTGCCTAATGTGGCCTGTCCTCATAGTTAAGAGCATCTCCTTGTAAAATCAGAGTAATTCAGCCTAGTTCTCTGAGCTTTCATACTGCTTTGCCTTTTCCATCAGGTCTCTGTGCCCAGGTTTGCTGTTGGAATTGTGATAGGAAGAAATGGAGAAATGATCAAAAAGATTCAGAATGATGCTGGAGTTAGGATTCAATTTAAACCAGGTTTGTGTGAGGATGGAGGCCGTTACTTTCTGACCAGTGTTACAGTTTGGGATTGCTAAAATGAATCTGATCTGAGGTTACAGCAGCTAGGCTTTCCTAATTTAAAGGTGCGTTGTGTCTCCTTCTGAAATCCCTTCAAATATGATGTGCTGCTTCCTTGTGCACTTTCTGGTTTTCAGAGAGTAAGATTATATGCAGCTCATTTGCAAACATTAGATGTCACAAGAGTTGTGTCTTGAGTGGTAATTATATGGATAAACAAATAACAATAACAAAAAAACTTTTATATTCTGTTAAAGAATTCTCCTTCAGCACATTAAAGCCTTTGGGGATCAGGAGTTGATTAATTCTAAGTAACTTTCTCTGGGTCCTTGGCTGTCTGATCACCTATCAAAGCTGCCTTTGTCCTCCTAAAATTGTATCGGTCTCTTTCATGGCTTTTTGACATTTGAAAGTGTTGCCTTTTGAATGTTGTTCCCTCTGCAGTGTGGGTTGGGTTTTGTCTTCTTTCAGTCCATGGAAGAGGGGCTGAAGGTGGAGGGAAGAGGTAGCTCTTGGGGTAGTTATGTTATGTGAAAATGCTGCTAGTAATGGTGGTGCTAAAAGGAAGCTTTTGTTGGCGGGTGGATGTATTCTCCTTTTAATTTAGTCTTTGCTACCTCTCTTCACAGATGATGGGATTAGTTCTGAAAGAGTCGCCCAGGTCATGGGGCTTCCCGATAGGTGTCAACACGCAGCGCACATCATCAGTGAGCTCATTCTCACGGCACAGGTGGGTTCTGGAGGCTCTTGGGAGGAAAGTGCTTATGTGGGAAGGTAGTCTGCACACATGCAGCTGTGTGGATGGATGCCACCATCTGAAGAACAGCAGTATTAAATTTTCCCTCTGGTAGGCCACACATGCTGCTGCCCAGGGCAGAGCTGCTAGGTTTGTTTTTTGTTTGTTTGTTTTTTTTAATGTGATACGGGCTGACTGAGCTATGGGAAGGTCTCCTATTCTCAGGCAGTATTATGAGGTGTCATTGTAGCTTCATGGTTACCCCACGTGTTTAGTTGCTCTTAAGTTATGTGGAAACAGTGACCTGGTGGAATGGAGTCCAGCAGTAGCATGAGACAGTGAGTGGAGGCCCTGCTCAGTAGGGCTGAGTAACTCTCAGGCAGTAGAGCATTAACAGTGCTCAGTGATGCCTCCCTCCTCTTCAGACTCCAGTCCTCTGGTCTAGTGGCTGTGGGAGGCAGGCGAAGGCAATGAACACTCATGTATGCGGTCATAAGAAAGATGCCAATATATTGCATTGCCCAAGAGCAAGAAGTACAAAGATGGGTGAAGTAGTAGGGCAGACTACTGAAGGAGGTTGTGTGTTCCCTTTGTATTATGAGAAGTAAAGATGTTAGGCCATTCCAGACCAGATACCCAAGCATAATTTCTCCATCAAGGGTAGGTCTTGATATCTCTTCTTGTCCTGAGATCTGGTTTGAATTCAATTACGTAATTTTTTTAATCATCCATTTAAATTTTGAGGTCTGTCACGATAGCCTCTGACTGCCCATCACCTTTTGCTTTTGGAGAATCAGTTACCCAAAATAGGTATGTCCTTTAACTGTCTTTGAACTTAAAAGCTTCCTTTGGAAGTTTTGGAAAATGTGCATTTCAGCTGAGTAATTCCAGCAGTTCTTTAAAGAGTGACACTTGAAAGGGTTTGGAAGCAGCTTCTGTGTGTGTCAGTGCCAAGAACTATTGGTTGCTCTAAGGAAAGCCCCCATCACAAACTAAAAGTCCTTTAGTAGTTGATGCTTGTTTATAGGTTTATTTCAGCAGATATAAAGGCATGCATTTAAAAAATATAAATACCTTCCTGAGTCAGGAAGGCAGCTGTAACCTACGTTACTTGGCATTTCTTTAAAGTGCTTCAAAATCTTGAATATGAAACTGAAGTCCAAGAATATCTTAATTCAGTGCCATTGATTATAATGCAATTTAACTTACCTTGCTTTATTTTGCTTTTAATGTGCATTGGGGCCAACAAAAAAACCACTGATACAAATTTTTTGCCTTCTAAGGAACGAGACGGCTGTGGAAGCTTGGCTGTCGCCCGAGGAAGAGGTCGTGGCCGTGGGGACTGGAGCGTTGGAACACCTGGGGGCATGCAGGAAGTAACCTACACAGTGCCAGCCGATAAGTGTGGTCTCGTTATAGGCAAAGGTGGGTCCGGTGACAATAAATACTAGAGCTTGCAATCTTTCTCTCTTGGGATGGTTGCATTTTTGCTGCCTGACAGTGAGGCTTTGGAGTTTTCTGTAATTGCAGGTATTTAGTAGCCAGTGAATGCAGCATATGAATAAGCTATAAGCACTTGTGGTTGTTTTCTTTGTGGTGCTCTCACTCAATTCTACTCTCCAGGCCCTTGTTCACAGTCTGTAAAAGAGGCTCTTCATGCAGAGCTGTCAAGTAAGGTTGTTATAACAAGCAGCTGGCTGAGAAAAGGCAGGTTCATTTGTGGATTCTTTTTATATAGAGAATTCGTTTAAAGGACAGTTTATCAGGGACAAGCAGAACAGTCATTTCGTCATGCTGGATTTCTGTGAGTGCCATGTGATAAAATGGAAGGTCTCTGAATGTGGTAATAAGAGTAGCTGCTTCCAGCCATGTACCTGAAGTGTCTGATGAATAAAGTGAAGTAGCAGGATTTGTCTGTATCTGAGCCTGTCACGGAGCAGGCTGGTGCACCTCATCTCGCTCAGATGAGCGTGTTCACTGCCATGGAGGCCCCTCGGCTGTCTTAGCCATTGAATCTCTCCATGCTAAGGAGATGGACAAGGAGTCATCTGGCCTTCCTCTCAAGAACCAGTACAACCCTGAGACTGTTATGAAACCAGAGCATCAGCAGCCATCTCAATTTGTCATAGAGCATGAGCATCAGGTAATGGCAGTACTTATATTAGAGCCAGGAACAGAAGAGCTTTATCGCTCTGAATTGTTACGATGATTCTGAGTTAATACACTGACGTATCAAAGGAGTTGTATTTAATTTTTCTATCTGCTTATTTCAGGAAGAATGACATATGCCTTAACTAGTATTTAAGTAATCACAGTTGGCTTTTAGCCTCAGCAGAGGTGAGGTGAATAGAATAGGAACAGATTAGCTACAGCAGTAAAGGAGGCAGAGACTTGAGGGCATTGTGCCATGTTTCAGTGACATTTAGTTTCCTGCCCTCCTGTTGGGCAGGAGTGAGCTTGCAATGAAACATTTTGTGGTCTCTTTCCCCTGCTGCACAATCCTGCTGCATCTCACTTGTTCCTTTCCATGTGTCTGGCCCCTGTGGCACCCTGAACTGCTGCCTTATTGGATGGCAAGGGACACAGATGTGGGACACGGGCATGTCAGCAGCATATCTGCAATTATTTTCAGATGTTGTTGTTTGCTGTAAACCTGTTCACAAACCTGAAAACTTTTTCAATATCAAAAAACACCTGCTCTCCCCATTATGCAGAAATTGCAGAGTCATTGTGCTTGGTCTCACTGAACAGTTCAGTTGGGCAAAAGATCAAGCAAAGCAAATTTTAAGCTCACATGTGAGAGTTATATGTATGGAAAAATCAAATTATAATGAAACTTTATTGTTGTATCCATTAGTCATCCTTAATAAAGGATCAGAAAAGGTCACTTGTTGTTCAGCAGTGCACTGAAGTGGAGCATTTGTGACTACAGAGAGCACTGTGTGCTGAAAAGATAAATGCAGGTAGCAGAGTTGGATGTCCTAGCATTCAAGTACAAGGCCTGGCACAGGCTCACTGTGGGGGTGAAGGGTAGCTTTTTACCTTTGTTTCCACAACAGCAAAACAGGGATTCTTAACCGGCCAGATCAGAAGCTTTCTGGAGTGACTAATTACTAGTTGTATGGTGATTTGAGTGCTCGTAGCTTTGTAATACCACCTTGTAATCGGTGTTCTTACAGCGCCTATGCTCTTAGTCTTGTTGCAGCCTTCATTTTTGTCAAGTGAGTGATGGCTGTAGCGTTGCCTTTTGGGGCCTGGACCAGGATGGATGTACTGCGCTCTCCATATGTTGATGCAAGACACCACTGCCTGTGGGGCAGCGTAGGGGAGAGGGGATGTTAGTGGGTTTTTTTTAACAGTAACCAATTGTAAAACCTTTGCTCCCTCTCTTTTAGTTTCTGAGCGGTTTCCAGCTTTTTTTTTTCTTCCCTTCTCTTCGCGCGCCCTGC